ACCATGATAACCATTCGAACACCCCTATTAACCGAGTTTTCATCCCTTCCAACGAAGTTCTCAAAAGTCCAAACGGAGCATTTAAACGTCTTGCAGCTCATCCAGATGGTAGATGAAGATGATATCCAGGAGACACTCTACGTACTTCCTCCATTATCTTTCTCATTCATTGGGTGGTTTGAAATACATGGATTGTTCGTCTCTACCAGACATACATACATACAATATTTTTCTCGCAAATGATTGAGCTTAAGCTCAATTCGTAATGGCCGACAGAATGAGTTTGTGATCCCCATTTTTTGTTCGGATTCACAATGTAGCTGTTAGCTCTCTTAGTCGATCGGGTCGCCCCTCGTTTAAGCACATTAAAGCTCTCGAGTTTAAGGGCAAAGGGTCCTACGATAACAGGTCACCCTCTGCGTCATTGTGGTGGTCTATGTCAATAATGGCAATAGGGTCTCTCGCTAATTAAATTTAGTTACATACATGCATTTGTGAGAGAAGAGAGGGCATGCAGCCGCCTGCACTATAGTACAAAACTAGTCACTTTGGTGCTGCAATTGCTTGGCCCAAAAATGAAGACTGTAACAATCCTTCCCATTAATCCCCACTCTCCTTTTCCCCTTCCGTCCTACCGACGGACACAAACTGCCCCCACCGCCACTTCGATTTCCTTCCTTCGTCGTCGCTTTCAGAACTTTCAAATACAGAGAGTACAGTTGCAGGAGCAATTAGTCCGAAAAGAAAGGCGATGGCAGCATCTCTAGTAACATCTGCTGGTAGATGCTCAACATCACCAAAAATGTACATGACGTAGCAGCCTCATATCACGCACATACCTACATATTTACATGTACTGAATGGCACCTATTGACTATTGTTGTACGCGATATAGACCGCGTAACGATCCTGGTGGAGTACGAATATATACGGGATGGATCCAAGTGCAGATTTCTTCCTCTCTAGGTACTGGTCCAAGTGCAGGACTCTACCTTTACAATCAGTGTGGAAGTGACAACTTGCTGAGTTATTATATATTGTGGCTTGGCTAGTTAGCCTGCTGCAGCAACTAACAAGAACAAGCAGCCACCGTTGCTTCTGTAAGCAACTGGTCATATACAGCAGACCACCACTTGCATGCAGTTCGTCCAAGTGAACTGCAACTTGCAATCCTTCACATTTAGCAAGCAGTTTTCTTTCCAGCATAGAAAGTGTCGCCATCCAGCTACTGTCAATGACGATTCACATGTGTTTGATAGATATGAAGACACAGTCCACTGCAATTTGCAGGGCCCTTTTTCCTTCCTATCGGATAGAAGAGTGGAACATCGATCGATCGTCGCAGTTGGATCGAACGAGGGACCTTCAAGTTGAAAGCCAGCTGCTTTATCGTTCCATTACTTCCTCGTTGGCTATCTGCAACACCTTTTCATTCCGGTTTAACCATTTGTTACTTAAAAATAATCTAAGCCCCTCAATCACAATCACTCAACTACATATATTCATCTGTTCAGAACTCAGAGAGCAGGTAGAGTAACAACCTAGGATACTGAAGTCAAGATATTAATAATGCCAATCTGATCATGTTAGTTAAGGTAATTACTCTTAGGAAGAAGGGGAAAAATCAACATATAACCATGTATAATAAGATGTGATGGCGAGGACGATTGAGATGCATGAATGAGAATGACTTTAATTTGAGTGGAAATGATCTGGTCTTAATCGAGCAGGAAAACATTAATGACTGACTAATTGTACCCATCTGCAAAAGTTATAGACGCTAATCACGATTAACTAATCTGTGAGCCCCGCCTCACTTTCGATCCTCCTAAAGAGATGAGATGACATAAAGCCAGAAAACCAAACTTGCACACCATGAAACTCTCCACCTCAAACGTCAACAACTTGATAGAACAATGAATTGAGATGGCTAAATATGCAATTAGTGTAGCTAGAAAGGGACCAATTTCTCAGTACTTGCTTACCGACGCCTTGTCTCTCCCCTTTCACTCTCCTTCCCTTCCTAGAACATGTACCAAACAATATAATTCCAGGAAAGTGAAAGCATTTACTGTAAGCCTTCACTACTCACTAGCTATGATACAGGAAAGAAGCAGCCAGCTATTGGAATCAAGTGGACAAGGAGGCTATGGTTCTTTACATTCAGACTCTGCTAGTTTAGGATATATTTTGGGGGGAAAAGTCATACTTCTTGTTGCCTTGGAATTAGGATGGATTTAAAGAAGACTTAGGGTTGATTTGGTGAGGCTACCGGTTGTGCACGATATCAAGGTTTGTAAATGTAGGCCCAAGAGCCTTTTCATCACACAAGGGGGAGTTTAGACATCCACTCAAAAGAACAGCTGCATCGCACAAGTATAAAACATTGTTCACTTCTCAATGTTCTTCAGCAGAAACATGAAGGTTCAAGGAGACAACTTTTTTTCTGCTAGAGTTGATTCTCAACGTCACAACAGTGACAAATATCTTTATTTATGAATGATCTTACAAATCGTTGACATTATGGCATCTGTTGTATAGACTGTTTTCTCTAGTTTTAGGAGATGTTCTCAGTGCTCTCTATACATTCATGGGAAGACAAGCATTGGAAACTGAGAGGTCGTATGTATGAGAAAGCTAACCTATGCATGGAGACACCAAGAAAAAGAGATTTAAGTTGTCATGCGCTGGATTCAGGATGTCTCTTGCAGAAACTGGAAGAGTTCTTCTGCTACCACTGAAGGATATTCTTCTTGTGGCAAAAGAGCACCTGGAACCTCAACAAATTTGGTCACCCCACTGGCTCCCCTGAGTGCTTCCATCTCTGCTTTAGATCTCCTGGGAGATCCTTTAGACGACACGACAAGAACTGGGATCTTCCCATCTAACCCAGTAAACAAGTCCACGAACTCTTCTCTGGATTGAACTGGGTCAAGCAGGCCAGTCAAGAAAGCAGCAGGTGCATAACGAGCACCCTGTTTCTTAGTTAATGCATATCGGCTCTCAACAACTTCTGGAGTCACATTGTTCGGATCAGCATAGACATGGGATTTGTACTGGGATTGGATCGCCTTCTCGTTGCTGACAAGCATGTTATACATCATCCAACCCACTCCAGGTGCCCTCAATGTGCCCCTAAGTAGACCATACCTGGTAAATTGACGAATAGCTCCATCTGATTTAGTTCCTTAAACAATGAAACCACTGTCCATTTCTAGAAAGAAGTTCTGGAACTCAAATCGTTGCGATCAAGACATGAAATAGAATTCATGTTACAGATACCTTGACTCCATGTTTGAATCACGACCAAACACAATAGGCAGAGGACCAGCCCAGGTTGGTGCAACAGCTGCGATAACTGCTGGCTTCACCAAGCCCTTCTTTGCAGCACGAACTAGTATCGTGGCAGCATGCCCTCCACCAAAGACTACCAAATCATTTGCTGAACCAACAATATAAAAGGATCAGTATGCTATCTTGCTCAATGAACTTTCCAATCCGAATTTCCAAGAATAACTTGCGGGAAAAGAGTTCTGAGAAACCCATTTATGAAAATGGAATGTAGAACGAAGAAATTTTGTGAACTGTGTACTATTTTTTTTGTAATCAACATAATGTACTTATTAATAAATGGAGTAACAGTCAAACTAAAATTTCAGACTGATTTACAAGTCGAAGTAATTTAAGTATCTGTATCTGTAGTTTATACGAAACATATTGCAAAATAAGTCAACAGTTTGAAGTACGGCTTCCTATTAGCAAAGCAGCAGTAGGCAATTCTAGAAGAACATGCAGATGCTATAGCTAGTCCAACTTAAGTTGAAAGGGCATTGTGTACGAGGCATCAACGTTGAATTGATGATTTCTGACCATATGAAATTATGAATACAGGGGAATAAAATTTTTATGTACCTGAGTTCTTAAGTGGACTATCAGGGGAATTGATGAAATCAACCAAGAACTTTTCCATGACATCAGCATTGTAGTCTATCTTTGGTCGATCCGAGTAACCCAAACCAGGCCAATCCACAATAGTAGCCCGCCAATCAGCTCCACCAGCTCGCTGTACAATGTCAAGAGCAACTGATCTCCATTCTTCAACAGTGCTCACATCTGAAATCGTCGGTATCATCAGAATATCCTTAGGTGAATCAGAGTTATTCTTTGAATGTTCTTCGTAATAGATGCTGATAGATTTTTCATTGAACTTCCATTGCCAACTAGTTGACTGAAAAATAAGAAAAACATTGTATATGAGAAACGCTTAACCCTCCCAAACAGTGAACACGACCAAATTCAATAAGGTCAAGGCATACCAATCTTTGAGTTCACCTCATAGCAGCTACTTACAAGTTACCAAATAGCAGACAATTGCTAAATGATGGATATTGCACATTGACATTGAAGTTATCTCTATTCTATCACACACTCTTGAGCAGAAGAAGAAGCAATCCTAGCTAGTGCAACTAGACATGAACTAACCGAACCTAAAGCTCCCTCAAACATAATACCAACGTCACCATCCCTCAAAGATATACCAACACATGAAGAAGATGGGAACTTGGTCAAAAAACTATTGAGTTCAAGTGATAGTAAATGATGGGGAATAAGAAAGTCGGTTCATTTGCTTCATATTTGGAATCGTACAAGACAGTTGCAACCAGGAAGTAAGGAGGAGTTCGAGCGGCTTACCTTGAAGGATTTGGAGGGCTTATCGGCAACAGGGGCTGCAGAGTAACCAGCAGAAGTCGAAGAAGCTTTAATAAGTGAAATTGGTCGCAAGAAGGGAAGCTTCTGTGTCAAAAATGGCTTGTAGCTCACCCGAGAAACAGCTGCGAAAGAAGGGGCGAAGGGGGAGACGAACAAAGCTGAGGAAGAGGCCATGACTTTTCGGATTCAAAGCGGAACGATTGCTGGATTCCAGACGAAGAGGAGGAAGGAAGAGGGTTCAAGTCTTCAATGGAATGGACAGGGCAAAAAATCTGCCTTTTTGTTTTTTGTTTTTTAATATTTCGGATGGAAGTTCGATTTTGTGGTGTTCTGCGAATTTGGGCTTCGTAGACCAAGTCCATGAAAACAATCATATGTGGGTCCAAAATCAAAAGCCCATGAATTCATCTTGTCTCCAATTGTCTAGTCTGTTGATAAAACTTGGATCGCAGCCGTTGATATTTCAATTTTCAAAAACATGACAGCCGTCAGATCTAGGGCTTCCGTTCAAAGGCTCTCGTCTCTCCGCAGAAGCTAATATTCTGCCCTTGCTGCCGCTTCCGCCCACTTCTGTTGTGTGTCGCAGCCGAGAGAGGGAGGAAGAAGAGAAAAGGTAGAAGACTCGAAAATGGTGCAGCGTCTCACTTACCGCAAGCGCCACAGCTATGCTACCAAGTCCAACCAGCACCGAATCGTCAAAACCCCAGGTAACTCCTTTCTCTACTTTCTGTTCCCCACTCGTTGAAACCTAGGGCGGCTCGAACCCTCCTGTTTGCTGCTTTCGGGTAATTTTTATAGATTTCTCTGATCAATACCTTCGGCTGAAATGTAGGTGGAAAGCTTGTGTACCAGACCACCAAGAAGAGAGCCAGTGGACCCAAGTGTCCCGTTACTGGGAAGAGGATCCAAGGGGTAAGTAATTGCTGGATATCTATGTTTATGTTTCCATTGTCAATGAGGAGGTAGTTCGATTTAGCTGTGCTTTGTTACTTTGGGGTCCTTCGTTTCGACTGCGCACTCTTCTAATACTTGGGTTTGTAGAAAACAGTGATGATGCATAGAGAAGTTTCATCTTTTGATGGGATGGTGGACTTTGATAGGTCAATCTCTATAATGTGTGCCTGAACTATCGTGTAGAATCTCGTTATTGGAGCCAATTCTTTTGGTTTCAGCTGTTAAGCTATAGAATGGCCAGATTCTTGTCTTTATTCTTCGGCCATCATTGGTAGTTTTGGTACTACTCTATAGATAGAGTCAAGGGTGTATGACGTTCTTCATTGTTAGGTTTTCTGTTCAGTTCCGTCAATTGCTGGACAACATGGGCTGGAGTACTCATGTTGTGGTCAAACAGTCTAGTTTTCAACATAGGTTTCTTGTTGCGTGATCTCCTTATACACCGAACCATGGAACCTTCCTGAACCTTGAATTATCAAACCAATTCTAGGCTTTTGTATCATCATTATTCGGAGTTCTATGTTTTCAAGGTGCAAAAGTTTGCTCTTTGCTTCTTTGAAGTTGTAGTAAAATGTCTCTATAATGTATTTTATATTTCTATCCATGTACATTTTCTTGAGGAGAGATTGTGAATCAAATTATTCTTCTGTGTCTACAGATTCCACACTTGAGGCCTGCTGAATACAAGAGATCTAGGCTACCAAGGAATAGAAGGACCGTGAACAGAGCATATGGTGGTGTTTTATCTGGAGGTGCTGTAAGGGAAAGGTGTGTCTCCATCTCATTATTTTCTTTCAATCACTTTTATTTGTTGTTTCCATTATGGATAGTGGTTTACATGCTCTACATGAATAGAAGTCGGTCTCTTCATTTGAATACGATTTTTGGTTGTTTGTAGGATCATAAGGGCATTCTTGGTTGAAGAGCAAAAGATTGTCAAGAAGGTGTTGAAGATTCAGAAGGCAAAGGAGAAGCAGTCTTCAAAGGCCTAGATCAGCTCCATCCGATGACATGAATGTTTTCGTTATTTGCTTGTGGTTTTTATCCTCATCAAATTTTGAGTAAACAGATGTGAATTTTGGTGGATTTATACACACGATAACTGATGTGTTTTCACATTGGTTGTGGTTTATGTTAAGTCACATTTGTTTCAACTGCATTTCTGTGGTTTAAACATCACTCGTGTGTAGGAAATTAGCTTGTGAAATCCCTACCTTGAGGCAGGGCAGCCACAGGATTCTGTCCAAATTGCCATCTGGTTTGGATCAGACCAAACAGAATTCGATCAAGGAGACTATAATTCTTTTAATCGAAGCTCATAGATAGTAAAATGGTGTTGATAACCATGAACTTTATTACAAGAAACATCTGCAAAACGTATACATTGCAAACCAGTTGGAAGGGAAATCTGAAAACAGGAAAAAAGCAAACAAGCAGTGGCGCTGTTCTGCTCTTCCTCTCTACACTTGGGGAGAGGATCCTACAGCATTTTGCCTGAACCCCCGCAAAAGGTTCACAACCTCATCGTGAGGGGGAAGCACTTCTTTCACCACAGGAACCTCCTTCAAACTCTCGACCCAGGAGAACACCAATGGAGTCCTCTGCAAGTCGATGATCTCGGTGGTCCTGACGAACTCTGACTGTGCCTTGTGGAGGCCAAAGAACGCGCACATGGTAATGTCCAGGAACCTAACATTCTTCTGGTCGTCGAAATGATGTTGAGGAATCCCTTCTGGAAAGAAGTTCGCTCTCAGTCCCTCTTCAAGCAATTCCATGTTCTTCCTTAACTCCTTGATGGCTTCTTCTCGTGCCTCTCCTAGCGCTGTTATTGTCAAGACGAACTTCTCGAATACCTGCCAGTGAATTTGAAAGAATATTGCTCTGTCATTCAAAGGTACGATGTTAAAGCGATAAATAAACTCTCTTTATCACCTGTCTTTGTATGAAATCAGCCCAGAAGCGAACTCTGGCTCGCCTGTAAGTGTCCTCTTGAGGGAGCAGGGCATGGCCGGAGGACTTCCAAGTTTCGTCGATGTACTCGAGGATGATGCACGACTCGATCACTGGTTTCCCGTTGTGGACAAGGACCGGGACTTTCTGGTGCACTGGATTGTGCCTGAGGAGTGCTTCACTTTTCCCATTCAGCAAATCTTCTTCCACATATTGGTAGGGTATACCCTTAAGTCTAAGGGCTATCTCCACTCTTTTCGCATAGGGGCTTGCCCACATCCCATGGAGCACCACTTCCTCTTCCCCACTCATCTCTGTTTGTTTGACCTGCAAAATGGCTGGTGTTCATTCATGTGAAGAATCAGCTCAAATTGACTGGTGATATGTCCGGCATATTCCCATATGGACAAATCAAGGCATCTCTATCGTTTGTCATGGTTGATAGGCATCTTCTATATCTTGCCAAAAACAACAAAAGGGCATCCTCTGGTGGAATGGATTCTCAGCTTAACTCAAGATTCCGCCCCTTGTTGTGTAGATGTCCCTTAATTGTAATTAGTCACTTTAATTACTTTAGGGATCATTCTGTTATTTGTCCCTTGCTCCGTGTTTAGTGTGGAAAGGAGTTAGGGTTAGGTTTGATAATATGCTTCTCGGCAGACTATGTAGCCGATCAAGCAAAGTGTGAGACATTGATATTAGTTTTCTCCGAGAGCTTCCAGCTCTTCATGGATTAGTCCTGTTCACACTGAACGGGGATACCATGTAAATCTGGTGTTTTGCATCTTTTACTTTCCGCGTACTATCGAATTTTACATGGTATCAGAGCTGGTCTAAGTAAAGGGATCGACAATCATGAGTTCTGACGATGAAGTTTCGGGCAAGAACTCGTCGTCCAAGGCTCCGCAGGGCAGTGCCCAGGTCGCGCTGCCGCCTCATCTTGTATTGCATCAGTCTGATAACCCCAGTAATCTATTTGTGGGGGAGCTTCTTAGCGACGTTAATTATGATGAATGGATCGTCGACAACACCGATTCTCTTATTGCAAAGCATAAACTTTGCTTTCTTGATGGGACTCTCCCAGTTTCTCAGACTGTCGCAGAGAAGGATGCGTGGAAGTAGTGTAACGCCATGGTAAAGGGCTGGCTCAAAACCTCCATGACAAAAGAGGTCAAAAGCAGCGTCCGATTCGCGGCCACGACGCGCGAGATATGGGTTGACCTGCAGTCCCGCTTCGGTCAAGGAAGTGCTTCGCGTTTGTGTGATCTCAAACGCAAAATTAATGGCCTTCAACAGGAGAAGTCTTCTGTCTCGGCATTATACACTAAATTGCGTGGATATTGGAACGAAAAGGAGGTGCTCACACCGTCTCTCGAGTGCACGTGCTCAGGCTGCCATTGTGACGTGAAGAGAAGGCATCGCGAGGTACGTGAAAGCGAACGCTTATTAGACTTTCTGATGGGTTTGGATGATGTTTTTGCCACAGTCAAGTCCCAGATCATAGCCATGAAACCGGTACCAAGCATTGCGGAGGCTTACCAGATGGTGATCAATGATGAACAACAACGGCAGATTGGACAGAGCCGTCGTCCACGGCCAGAAGCGGCGGCCTTTCAAACTCAGGGGGAGCATCGTTCTGATCGTCCTTCCGGTCGTGCTGAACGCGATGACAACGACAAACCCCGCTGCTCCCATTGTATTCGGCATGGCTACGTAAAGGAAACTTGTTATAGGCTCATCGGGTTTCCGAATCGAGGGAATGACAGGGGTGATCGCGTGAATGACAGGGGTGATGGAGGTCGTCGCGCGAGATCTGATCGGCAACCTCGGACATCACCGCGGGCAGCACAGGTGGACGCGGCTGAAAGTCCCCTTTCAGGCCTGTCCACAAGCCAATTTGCACAACTTAAGGCGTTATTGGCATCCGACCTACAACAGCCTTCCTCCTCGTCGCAGGAGCCTTCGTCGAATATGGCTGGTACGTATTCTTCTTCCTCCCCTAGTCATCTACTTGGGTCATAGACTCGGGGTGTAACGAGCACATTGTCAATCATGTTTCCATGTTGGATGCCGAGTTGGACACATCTCCGGCTTTACAAGTGAAAATCCCGAATGGCACAGGGGTTAAGGTTCATAGTATTGGCACCACATGATTATCTAAAAATCTATTACTGCGTCTTGTGCTTCATGTCCCTCCTTTTCAGTGCAACCTTCTCTCAGTTAGTCACCTTACATCGAACCTACCGGTAGCATTGATCTTTTTACGTGACTTCTGTGTAATTCAGGACTTACCGTCCAAGAGGCTGATTGGGATGGGTAAGCACGCAGATGGTTTATACTACCTCCGGATGTTGGACGAAGATCATCCCATGGCGCATTCGGTTAGACGTTCTTTGGACACTTCGGAGTTATGCCATGCACGACTCGGGCATCCCTCAGTGGCGAAGCTGGATTTGTTGCAGAAATTTCTTAATTGTTCTTTTGTTCAAACTAAGGAACCCTGTCGATTTTGTTTGCATGCTAAGCAAACTCGGGATCCTTTCATTTCTAGTAGCATCAAGACCACTTCTTGTTTTGAATTGATTCATGTGTATATTTGGGGAAGTTATAAAACTGCGTCCACGTCTGGAGCACATTATTTCTTGACTGTCGTTGATGATTTTAGCAGAGCAGTATGGGTTTTCTTGTTACGCTACAAATCCGATGTTGGCAGACATTTATTATATTTTTGCAACATGGTGGCCACACAGTTTGGGGGACAGGTGCGTCGCATCCAAGCTGACAATGGGGCTAAATTTTCTAGCACTGTGCTACTTGACTACTATGCAGAGAAAGGGATAACTCTGCAGACTTCTTGCACTGACACTCCTCAACATAATAGGGTAGTGGAACGCAAGCATCGACATCTTCTTGACACTGCTAGTGCTTTACGGTTTCATGCTAATTTACCTATCAAATTCTGGGGTGAATGTGTGCTTACTGCAGCTTATCTTATCAACAGGATGTCTCTCGTCTCTATTGTGCATAAGTCACCGTTTCAGCTTTTGTTTTAGACAGACCCCGTGTATGATCATCTCTGAAGTTTCGGTTGCCTTGTTTAAGCTCGTGACAATCATCATGACTTATACAAATTCGGAGACAGGGGTCGAGCAGACATCTTTCTCGATTATCCCTCAAACCAACGTGGTTATCACATTTACGACATTGAGAAGAAACACATATATACGTCTCGAGATGTCAAGTTCTTGGAATATGTTTTTCCATACCGGGATTTTGAGGATTCTGGTCTACATCCCGCCATTGTTTCTGTTTCGCAACCTCGCGCACCTCCTCCTGTCCACGACGATGATGACGATGCTAAACTCGTCGTTCCCGTGGCCACCCAGCATGATCACACCTCTCCCATGCATGAATCGACTTCGTCCTCTTCACCCATGCAGGACGTCACTCCACCTGCTACAACCCAGCAAGACCCCGACTTGGGCCCTTCTTCCCTTGCGCCGAGACCACTCTTGTTCACGTAGCAGCTGACTCTTCCTCAACTCCTGGATTCACAGCTAGCGACCCTTCTTCCCCTCCAGTTCAGCAACCTCGTCGTGGAGATCGTATCCATCGCCCTTCCACTCGGTTAGCAGGATACAACGTCCAGCTTCCTGGTGCGGGACATTCGGCCCAGGTACTCTATCCTCTTGAGTCTTGATGACTACCTTAGCTATCACCGACTTTCTGTTGCTCACCATGCCTTTGTTGCTGCCATCATAGCCATTGACGAGCCGACTCATTTCTTCCAAGTCGTTCGGTTTAAACATTGGCGAGACGCCATGCAGCTCGAGATCACTACTTTGGAGGCTATTGGCATGTGGTCCTTAGTGCACTTACCTCCCAGCAAACGCGCCATCGCTTGCAAGTGGGTGTTTAAGAATAAGTTTCGACCCGATGGATCCATTGAGCGCTATAAAGCTCGCTTAGTTGCTAAGGGCCTCACTCAGGTCGAGGGTGTGGATTTTCATGATACATATGCTCTGGTGGCCAAGTTGGTCACGGTTCACTGCGTTCTTGTTGTAGCTGTTACCCGTGGTTGGCATATTCACCAGTTGGATGTGAATAATGTGTTTCTTCATGGTGATCTGGATGAGGAAGTCTACATGACTGTTCCTCAAGGCTTCTCTCGTCCTGGTGATACTCGTGTTTTCCGTTTGCACAAATATATTTATGGCTTGCATCAGGCTTCTCGTAACTGGTATCAAAAGTTCACCCAAGCTTTGTTGGAATTCCAGTTTGTACAGAGTCGTGTTGATCATGCTCTGTTTACTTATCGGCGCGGCTCCACCTTTGTGATAGCTCTTATCTACGTCGACGATGTCATCCTCACTGGTAATGACCTACCGTTCATTAAGCAGGTTAAGTCCTTTCTTCATGAATGCTTCACCATCGAGGATCTCGGTCCCCTTAAATACTTTCTTGGGATCGAAGTTGCACGGTCTCCTGCAGGTTTAGTGCTCAACCAGCGCAAGTATGTTCTTGATATCCTGGTTGACACTGGTTTGGAGGTGGCTCGTCCTTGTTCCACTACCATCAAGCAACAACATCATTTAGGGCGCCACCCATCACCCCCTACCCGAGATCCCGCTGCATATCGACGTCTTGTTGGTCGTCTTCTATACCTGACAGTCACCCGGCCAGACATTACTTATGCAGTGAACATCCTCAGCCAGGCCATGAGTCTCCTACCCAGGCCCATGAGGCTGCTGCCGTCCGTGTTCTTCGTTACCTCAAGGGTTCTCCGAGACGCGGTCTTTTCTTCTCTTCCTCGACTCCCCTTGTCTTAAAGGGTTATTGTGATGCCGATTGGGGTGGTTGTCCGATCACCCGTCGCTCTACGATAGGCTTCTTCATCACTCTGGGTGATTCTCCCATTTCTTGGCGTACTAAGAAGCATACTATTGTTTCCCGCTCTTCTGGTGAAGCGGAATACCGGTCCATGGCTAGGACAGTTAGTGAGATCATTTGGTTCGTTGGCTGCTTCGCGACCTGGATGTTCCTACTACTCGTCCCAATGTCTTTTTCTGTGACAACCAGGCCGCTCTTCACATTGCTGCCAATCCGGTCTTCCATGAGCGCACTAAACATGTCGAGATGGATTGCTACTTCGTCGATGAATGTGTCCAGTCGTCAGAAATCACTCCGGTCAAGATAGCCAATGCCGATCAGCCCGCAGATATTTTTACGAAGGGATTGAGTGTTGATTAGTTTCATCATCTCTTCGTCAAGCTCGGCCTTCTCGACATTCACTCCTTCACTTGAGGGGGAGTGTAGAGATCCCTTAATTGTAATTAGTCACTTTAATTATTTTAGGGACCATTCTGTTATTTGTCCCTTGCTCTGTGTTTAGTGTGAAAAGGAGCTAGGGTTAGGTTTGATACATATGCTTCTCGGCAGACTATGTAGCCGATCAAGCAAAGTGTGAGACATTGATATTAGTGTTTGTTGGGCCGCATAGTTGAGCGTGCTTGGGCCTCGGGCCCAAGAAGGATAAGGCGACAGATAAGGCCCAATAAGGGAGCCTGGTCCAACCAAAAGACCGGGTCAGCAGGCGGTCCTTGACCGACTCTAGGCCCGAAAAATAGATAGGGTCGCCTGAGATAAAGCGACTGGCTAGTACATAAAAGTAAAGATCCGTTGAGATACGTATTCTGTGTCAGGTGAGACTAAGCATTTATTGCCGGCCACAGGCGGCCTGCAGAAAGGCTAAAAGCCTGCCCAAGACGCCCGACATGGCATTTAATGCCTCAACCACCCTCAAACTAGGTATAAATACAGAGTGAGTGCATTAATGGTAAACTCAACTACTCTCTATCTCTCTATCATAAACATATCTCTTTCCCCCTTCTCTTTCTAACTTAGGCTTCGGAGAGTGTCCCGGGCGACCGCCCTGGACCCTTGTTTTGCAGAGTATCTGGAGCGCTCCCCTTATCCAAGAACAGACGCCTCGCCCCAGTTCCACAAACCGCCTAGTATTTACTAGGCACAAACAATTTGGCGCCCACCGTGGGGCAGGAGCGAAGCGCTGAAGAAAGGATGGAGCGGAACTTCAGAACTCCGGTGAAGGACGTGATTGGTGGAGAAAGCATTAGAGGTTTGGAAATGCCGACAGTCGAGGGGGAGAAAGATATGGAAGAGCGCGTGAGAGACCAAGGGCAGCAGATCACTAGTATGCAAGAGAGTCTGAGCCAGATCCTCACCATGCTCAAAACAAGAGACGAGCCAGAAGGTTCTAAGAGGCGAAATGACAAGGGCAAAGGTGTGGAAGGAGAGATTCCCCCCAGCCCTGCTCAGACAGAAGGCGGGGAATCCGACAGAGAAGATGACGCCGAAGGCGCCCACCTCGACCTCCTCGAAGAGCATTTGCGACCCTTCTAAGGGAAACCCAAGGGGTACAACGTGCTGCACAACCCCTTGGCGAAGAGTCTGTTCAAGACTCAAGTGCCATCAAACTTCTCGTCACTCGGGCTCCCAGCCTACACGGGAAACTCTGATCCGTTGGATCACTTGAGCGCCTTCATTCTCAAGATGCAATTGATAAACGCCTCAGACGCGGATCTGTGTAAAGCATTTCCAGTCACCTTCGGGGGACAATGCAGGAGCTGGTACGCGTCCCTACCAGCGGGGATAATCGAGAACTTCAAGCAGTTCGCCACCCTCTTCTCGTTAAAGTTTGCGTCCCAGCGGAGGAGCAACTCACTGTCTCGGCGCTCATCAACTGCAAACAAGGAGAGGAGGAGACGTTAGCAGACTTCTTTGATCAATGGAACACAATAGCGTGCGAAGTTCGGACGTCTCAACCAGCGTGGCCACTGGAAACCTAAGAATGTCAACGCACAGCCGGGAGCTGAAGAGGGCCCTCATCAAAAAGGAACACAACATTAAGTCATGGCAAGACTTGGACTGCGTGGTACGAAAGGTCATCTTCTTGGATGAAGCGCTTAATGCCGAAGAAAGCACGAAGGGAACACACGTCCAGTCGAGCATAACAGAGAAAGGAAGAAAATGGTCACCAAAACGAAGAGGGCGCACACCCGAGAGACGCGCCTATAAGCCCAGATTCAACAACAGAGAGGGAAGGCGTGAAGTGTTCACCTCGGAGAAAGAAGAAGAGGCACGTCGTGGAGGGGGCTAGACCAGAGAGGCGCGTCCCCGACAAAGGAGGAAGGACGACCAGAAATGGTGCAACTGGCACCAGCTGCCGACCCATGACACCACAGAGTGCCAAGAGTTTAAAGCCAGTCTCAAGTACCTGGCCCCCGGGGACCTGAAAAGCCGCCTGGACACACGGGCGCATCCCAGCGAGAGGGCAGGGGAAAGAGACAGGTCACTGGGCCCAAGGAGGAGGTCCCGCACGCCCAGACGTCGGAGATCCAGGTCGCCAAGGAGGGAG